ATTATCTCATTGAAGATTTTTGTAATTTTTTTCTGTTCACTCAAAAGATACTTGAAAATAAAATCAAACATTTTTAAAGAAATCAATTTAATAAATCATATTTGTGTGTAGCCACATGCAAGATAAAATATTTCAGTTAACTTTTCTATCAAATGGCTACACATTTAATACAATTGTAGACCACAGTCTATGTATTAATTTTTGAGGTTATACAGAGGGCCTTGAAATAACAACAATGACTTTATTATCAGGGTCCAACAGACTTGCTGAAAGAATATAAAAAAACAAGTGATTCACTTAGGAAGAGAAGGCTGATTGGGACATTAGTAATTCTGAATATAGGGAATCCATGGTAGTAGAATGAAAAGGACGTAGTTGCTTTATTTGTTAAACTATACCAAATTCAGAAGCCTTGACAAATGGTAGATGCTCAATAAATACTGAATGAAAGAGAAGTTAAAAATGTCACTTTCGATGAAGTCACTAGGTCTTTTTCTTTTCTAATTAGCCACAGTGACATGGTCATAGGATGAGTGGTGAAAGCCTGTACCTGATACCCTACAGTAATTTCATATTCTTTGTTATTGTTGCTAATCTAAGAGGCCACACAGCACCCTTTTGTATATAGAATGAACATACTTTCTGTTATCTTCTATCCAAATTCTTTAAACTTAATAATATTGGGTTAGAGATAAAGCAGAGTTGTTTGTTTGGTTGACTTTAAGAAAAGGGACTGAAGGAAACTATGGTTTTTAAAAATTTAGTTACACTATATTTAATTCTCACTTTTTCACTTGAAGGATAGAAATATCATTCCCTGAGGTGTCACTGGAAAAAATATGTATACAACCACAATCTAGATAAAACAGAAAACCAGAAATCCCATTTAAGTCATTATTCAACTGTTTATCTGAAGGCTTAAAGAGAGGATTGAGTGGATGGTAGTCAGGAGAAGTTTCCAGGGATGGTGAATTTTACAGAGAATAATCCCACTTGGTGTTGCACAAACCAATTACACTGGCAAAACGTAGACTTTAGCAAACAGTCCAGCTTTGTGGGGAGATAGAGGCTGCCTGTTGGTAGAGTTGCAGTAAATGCGGTAAAACCTTGTGAGTTACAATAGTAGCTTGCCTGCAAGATATGCCCACTAATACAATTGTGCCACAGATGTAACCATCCACTCTTTATTTGTTTTTTGTTTTTATTATATTTATTGCATGGTCCATGGTATGAAATTCACTTCTGACACTGTTAATGAGTTCAAGAATCTGAGACTAGATAGGTCAAGAGCCTTTATGGAAAACTTATTGCTATTGTTCTCATAAATGAGCACAGCAATAAGATGACTTCTAATGCTAGACTGCTATACCATAGACCAGTGCCTCCCTTGACTCTCATAGGAGAAGTTTATTCCTGGAGTAGAGGGCAATTAATACAGAGACCCATAGTGGACAACTTTCAGTGAATGAGAGACTTTGGAGCACTCAGCCCTAAGTGGGATGTCTTTATCAAATACCTCTGTTAAAGGTTAAAAGGGTTTATGTGAAAGATGAGGTGGAATGATTTTAAGAGCCAGGGGTGGTTGATAAGAAAATAGTATTTCACAAACACAACAGGGCTGGTGAACATAATGAACTCACAGAGACTCTGAGAGCCTGAACAAAATCTTCACAACTCCAAGCCAGAAAAAGTCCCAACATAGAGAAGGAGAGGTAGGCTCAAAGTCCCACTCCTAACAAGGAAGCTGTTCAATTGTTAGCTGCTAGGAGAGGGAAGAAAGTAAGTTTATCAATGGAGTGACAACAGGTGTATCAATCAACCATACTCTAGGACACCCTTCACACTCAGGAAGCATTCGCTAACACATATTGTATTCCACACTTTGTTTTTTATTTCAAGACAGAAAATAATATGAATTTGGGTGGCAAAAGAGGATGGGGAGAATTTGGGAAGAGGTGGTGGAGGAGAAAGAATATGATCAAAAATATATGAAATTCTCAAAAACAAAAATTAAAAAAAGAGAACAAACCAATAATTACTATTGGAGAAGTGTCATAGGTATATAGAAACTAACTAAAGAAGCCTACAATGACCAACTGTACAACAACTAGTGTAATAAATAGTAATATGTGTGATTATAACTCTAAACCTGAAAGGAATATTCATAATCCATATTGTTATGAGTAAATGGGAAGAATACTGTGTAGAAAAATTCTGAGTAAATTGTGTAAGCTATTGCTGCACACTGAATATGAGGTGTTTCCTACAAGCTCATGTATTTTTTCAATTGATAGCAAGATGGTGCCTTGCTGAAGGATATCTTTCACTGGGATGGCTTTGAAGTTTTATAATCTGGCCTCACTTTTCTTTTCTCCTGAGTGTGGATGCTATGAGACCAACCATTTCTGTACTCGTACTACCATGCCTTTCTTGTCTGTGGCCGAATCTTCACCTAAGCCAAAATAAACCCATTCAACATTGTTTGGCAACTTATATAGGTGGTCTGCCTCCAAAGAGATGAAACATACTTCTCTAACTCTGAGACCCACTTTCTTCTTGTGTGTATAGTATGTAAATTTGGCAGTATATAAACCTTATGGTGGAGAAGTCTGTTAAGTGCTACCTCTGCAGTCTTCTATGTTCACAACCCAAGTGTAATTGTGAGAGAAACAGACCCATTTTAGCAGTGAGCATCTCACCAACACTTGACTACTGTTTCTGAAGTTCCCAAGGTGGTTAGGAACAACTGAAGATTAAAACCTTAACTGCTAAGTGGAACCTAAGGAGACATGAAGACAGCTGGGGTATATAGGATAGGATATTGGTGTAGGAAAGGACATTGGGCTAAGGTAAAAGAAATACCACCAGAATATCAGTTACTAATGCTTCAACATTAGCCCATTCATTGTAGTAAAAATAAATAAGATGGTGACAGTTGCAGAACGATAGGATCAGTATACCATCTTCTTGGGTTGTTTTTAAATTTTTAAGGCTCTTTTAAAAAGTCAAGTACAGGAATAACTGTGGTTGGAATACAAATGAAATAAAAAAGTACATTAAAAATAAAAAGATTAAATTAAAAGAGTACCCCAAGACTCCACGTTGGAGGAAAGGAAAAGAAATGAGGCTCTTAAGACTGTTATTGGACAATGGCAAAGGAACGCATAGCTGGGTACATGCTGAAAGTTTCTTTTGAAGACATAAAATAAATGCATTAAAGAGCTGGCCCCTGAAGACCTTTGAGATGTTCATAAACCTCCTCTGACTTCTGCTGTGGAAGATCTGACCTGAACCCCAGTGCTGTGCATGAGCTGAGCTGACTTCTCCAGTTCCATTGCCACCCTGCTGTTTGTCCACAAGCTTGTTTAGTGACCCTTTGTAGAAGCTTTCCTATCCCCACACTCAGCCCGCCATCCTCTGCTTAGCTAACATCTCACCTTCTGGAAGATTTACTTGATTCCCCCAAATTTAGTGTCTTTCTTTTGCATTTTCCAAGTCCCAGGAACATGTTTCTAGCCCCATTTTTAAGCTATTCTTACTTTTCTTGTTGGTGGTTTCTGGGTCATGCCCATGAACAAGTCAAAGCAAAAATGGAAGAAGGTAGACATTGATTAATTCATATTTATATGATAAGAATGAGAGACACAGACAGATATTTGTTTCTTACTGACAGCAACATAGTGTTTGAACTAAGAATATAATCGTGTATTTTAAATAAAATGATTACTAAAAAAACTTTCATTCTCACAAAACTCATTTTTTAGAACTCTTAAATTTTACAATGAATTTTTCAAAAATCCAAATAGTGAAATATTTTCTAATATTATGAATACTTAAAAAGGCAGAGTCAATATTGGTTGTTACTAATAGACTTCTAATATTGACTCTTTTGTTTTTGATTATTTTGACACACGGTTTTTCTGTGTAGCCCTGGCTGTCCTGGAACTCACTCTGTAGACAAATATGGCCTCAAAGTCACAAAGGTCCACCTGTCTCTGCCTCCTAGCTCTGGGATTAAAGGTGTGTGCCATCTCAGCCTGGCTTGCATGTTCTAATGACAACCTTTAAATGCTCTGTGCCTACCTGAAAATTGCACAGCTACGTGTGAAAATCACACATGGTTTCCACCATGAATGACCATGTGATCGAAGTTGACCCTTTTCTGTGCTTTAGAGCTCTGTCATATCACACATTTGATGACTTTTGTTGGCAGGATCATCTGATAATAATGTAGCTAAAACATGGCTCTCACCTGGTGATATATTTGTAATGTCATAATGCGACATTATCGGTGTCTGCAGTGATATTAGTGTAAACAAACCTGTGTGGATCAATTACAAATGGTACACAGAAATTGACAATTATGATAAACTATTGGAATGGTGTGTATTTACCTACCATGTACAGCTGCATTAGAATATATTCCTTCTTACATTTGAAAAGTTTACTATAAAAACAGTAGGATGTGTTTTAAGTTATTGCTGTATTTTCCCTCATGCTTTATTGGAGCCCATGTTATTTTGATAACCATGGCCATAAAAGTAATAGGCTGTAAACAACACCCCTCGGCCCCAACACATGCACACATTTGTGTTTGTATAAATATTCTGTGATGTTCTAACAATAATAAGTGGATGACTGGTACATGTATTAGGATGTATCCTTGTTATTAAGCAATGTGTGACTTTATTTTCTAAAGGGATAATTTCATGTTTTAATGTTCTGTATCCATCTTCAGTGGTGAACAACTCCTAAATGAACATCTCACAGGAGCTTTTCCTTAGGGGAAGCTCCCCTGTGACTTGGTGATCTCTGCACCAGCCCTGTGCCCTCTGTTTGACTGTCATATGGTCTTTGTTTCTGGACCTTAGGGGAAAAGTTCAAAAAGGATTACATTTATGCAGATGTTTTTAAAAAGAAAAGTATTCTTGAGAATGAGTTTTTTCCAGTTCTGTCCAGTGTTTGCTCACATTTGTGAAATTATGTCACATTAATTGTAGGGTACTGGAGATACTGATTGCCATTTTAAAATCAAGAGGAACCTGGAAAATGCATCTATAAGTCTGGAATCTCTCAAGAGCCCAGGACTGTTTGTTGGACTTCAGCCAGACGGACAGGCAAAACCAGTCATTTATACTAAAGATGAGAATGTTTGCTTCTATCCACAAGTCATCCAATGTATGTTTACTTAAAATACTTTAAAGTTATTCGACTTTATGATGGTCCATATAGAATGTCTGAAAGTTTCATTGCAATTTTAATAAGAAAATGCCTGTTCTTAGACTCTTTTCCTTATACTAAAAGTGGTGTAAGAAAAACAATGAAGAATGCTCCCCTCAAGTTTTCAAGTAATAAAAAAATACAGAGTGTTTGCTATTTTGAGGTCCTCCACTAAATTGTATGCACGTGTACACACAACTATAACTTATGGCAAGTTGACACAAAACTAGTCAGCACAATTAACTCCTTGTCAATCAAACATATCAGTTTTAAGCCATAACCTTTCCTTTCTTGTTCATTCTCAAGATCATACATTAATATCAACATCATAGTATAAAGTGTCTCAACTTTTGAAAGTCTTACAGTCTTTAAAAAGTAAAACACTCACTGGGTGGTGGTGGCACATGCCTTTAATCTCAGCACTCAGAAGGCAGAGGCAGGTGAATCTCTCTGAGTTCAAGGTCAGCCTTGTCTACCTGGATAGGCTCTAAATCCACACAGAGAAACCCTGTCTGGAAAAACAACATCAACAACAACAAAAAAAATTAAAAACTTAAAGTTTCTTTAAAATATCCCATGTCTCTTTCAAAATTCAGTTTTTGTAAAACTTGAAAATGTTTTTAAGAGTTCAACATCACTCAGTTGTGGGCTCGTACAAAGAAAAAAAGTTACATATTCTCTAATTCCTAGAGGGAAGCACCAGGGCACAGTCACAATTGGATCAAAGCAATGTAAATAATTCGTTGTCCAATGCCTGGAATTGACTCTTGATCTCCTGGGCTCCACCTGGGACCTGGGTCACGTCTCTGGTTTGGCTCTCTACAGAACACACAGTTTATCTTCTAGGCTCAGGCTGGCTTCACTCCACAGCTTCTGTTGATGGTAGTTATCCCATCATGCTAGCATATTCAAAATGTTGGGGTCCCTGATGCAATTGGGCTGCCCTTTCACTAATGGCCTCTCCAAGTGTCTCTGAATTTCAGCCCTGCCACACAGTTCCAAGCTTCCATGACCCCCTTTGTCGCGCCTCCTGTGCAGCCTGTATCCGAGAATGTGGCGAGGTGGTTGGGATTGATGACACAGAGACCAGTTGGTTGTGTTAAGAAGACTTTATTCTCCCCAAATCGGCTTAGGAAAACTTCCCAAGAAAAACGCTTCCCTCCAGAAAAACTTCTACCATCCATACACACACAAATCTCCAACAGACCTCTCCTTCCTCCTGGCTGGTGGTTAAAATCTCTGACACCAGATTCGGAAAACAGCAGGGAGCAGAAAAAAATAGCTAGCCATCAGGAAGATCAAAGTCATGGTGTTTCAGTGAGTGAGCCCTTATGGGAGCCCTTATCAGGAGCTTATGGCACTGAATTGTTTTCAGTAAACATTGTCTGGCAGCTGCCTGCTCCCAGGCTGATGGAGGAGTGGGTTTCTGGCCAGGGTCTGTGATCCCCACACCCCTTGAGCCTTGAAAGTCAGTTTCACCTGTGTGACTTATACCACCAAGTTCTGATGCCAGCATGAAGTGCATCCTTGACTGGCTCTGGAACACAGCCTCCGTGTGTTCACTCCGAGGAAACACTTTCCAGAAGTTTCACCTCAGGGATGTTGATTTCTGAGCTCCAGCTGACCAGCATCAATTGACCCTGCAAAGAAATGTAGTACTTTAGTGGTTCTGATATCCTGTTAATTACAGCCCATTTTCAGCCCCAAATTACTAGAACCACAGATTCTTAATTCAAAATATGCAATAGCTCCAGTAGAGTCTTCAAGAGACACTCTCTCTTCCCTTGAAAATTCAACAATAAGAACTCTACCATCTGCATTCCTCTCAATATTCACATATTGAGCTTTCTGTGGCTTTTCTAATCCAACATTTCAAAGTTCTTCTACAATCCTTCTCCAAACATTGTGGTCAGGTCTAGTTCAGCAATGCCAATGATCCTGCTACCATTTTATGTCTTAATTAGGGTTACTGTTTCTGTGATGAAACAGTATGACCAAAAAGCAACTTGGGAGGAAAGGGTTTATTTCACAGTTCCGTGTGTGTGTGTGTGTGTGTGTGTGTGTGTGTGTGTGTGTGTGTGTGTGTACATGTAGATATATAATTCATCATCAAAAGCAGTTAGAGCTAGTGCTCAGACGGCAGGATTCTGGAGGCAGAAGCTAATGCAGAGGCCATGGAGGAGTGCTGCTTATTGGCTTTTTCAGCATGTTTTCTTATAGAACCCAGGACCACCAGCCTAGCCCACTCACAATGGGTTCTACCTTCCCACATCAATCATTAATTAAGAAAATACTGTATGGGCTTGCCTGCATACAGCCAGATCTTCTGGAGGCATTTTCTCAATTGGTGCTCCCTCCTCTCAGAAGACTCTGCCTTGTATTAAGTTGACATAAAACTAGCCAGCACAGCACACATCAAATATTTTGTTTTAAAGAATATCTCTATATACTCTAAGAAAGTGTAAAGCTCTTGGAATAGTTATCTTCATAGCTAATGATTTTTAATGTTCCCAGTTTTAAAGAAACAGTAGGGGACACGGGTTATTATCGAGGTAAAAAAATAAATGGGATTTGGTTTGAAAATACAATGCAGGGGACAGAAGGCCAGGAATAAGAAAGACATGTGGATATTCTGGAATGGTTTCTCACACATCTGAGTTCAGGCTCTTTACAAACTAAGGACTTGAGAAATTTGTTTAAATAATTTAGGTTTGAAATATACTGGCTTGAACAAAGGAGCCCACACAGTAACAATACTTTGCGATTGTCTCAAAGGTGTTTCCTTTTTCTTTCTAAATCTTGCCTGATGCTGTTTCATGATTTTTGGTTCAACTGAAATCTAGCTTTTCTTGGTCAGTGTGACTTTTGGCTTCCATTTGTTGTTGTTGTTGTTTTTGTTAGAATATACTGATTCTTCTCTGCAATGTGTGTTTGGGGGCATGTGCATGTTTGTGTGTGTGTGTGTGTGTATGCCTGTGTGTGTGTCTGTGTTTGTATAATAACTTACAGAGATGGTTTAAAGCAAGAATGTAGTTGGACTTCATGAGAGTATACCCGTGGCCATATATCTTAACGTAATCATTTACATTTATCTGCATTGACTCCATTTAAGCCGTTAGTTTCTGTGTTTAAGACCTTATACATTGTTGGGCTAGTAAAACCACCAGTGGCTCCACAATCTGTTTCCTACAGGCTGTCACAGAGTGACATCCCCATTTAGCCAAATGGGTATGCAATCTGCCTCTAGAACTCTGATGTGAACCAGATGACTTGAGAACACACAGGAAACTGCAGGATGGAATGGAACAGTGAGGAAGAGCTAGCAGGAGGTAGCAAGATTTGGAAACACAGAGGATGAAAGGGTACATGATAAGAAAGAAGCAGAGAAGAAATGCTAATAAAGAACAGATATATATATATACAAACATATATATATATATGTTTGTTTTTTTTTTTTAGATAGGGTTCTCTGTGGCTTTGGAGGCTGTCCTGGAACTAGCTCTTATAGACCAGGCTGGTCTCGAACTCACAGAGATCGCCTGCCTCTGCCTTCCTATTGCTGGGATTAAAAGCATGAGAAGAGGAGATGAAAAGGAGGGATGACCTGCAGAGAAATGAGAGATACTAAGAGAACACACTTGCCAACTTACAGGCAAAAATCACTTGACGAACTCACCAATCTGTTCTGTTATAGACCATGGACACTTTGCATTTCCTTCTCTGTGTATAGGGGCAAATTGTATAGGGGCAACTTCCTATTTTAGTAAGCACAAAATATAGAGCTGCTGCCTCAGAGATCTCATCACAGCACTTGACTTGGGTACAGGAGCACTGGCATTCCTTGCATGCAGTTCCCAGTACTGGTTTCTGGTGCTTATGATGGGGAAATCCCAGCGTCAGGGAAGTGCAAATTCACAGTCTGACACAGAATCCTTTAGGCTTCTATGGCCAGTTTGTGGCTCTCCCGTCTGGGATAATTGAGAGTGCAACTTCAGAGGAAGCAGCTGCGACTACTCTCAGAGATTTAGTTTTGATTCTGTTTAACACACTCTGGACATTCCAGAGAAAGAAAACACAAAGTTCAGTTCTTGTTCGCTGAGCAGGAGCCACGGGAAGAGTCCTACATGGTCAGATGTTCATTCTCACCCCACTTCAGTTTCTAGGAATTGCTAAATTACTCCACAGACCTGAAAAGGAGTGGGTATTCTATTCTTATAAATCATCCTGGCCCTCCTTTGTTCCCCTGCTGGCTGTAGCTGGCTGCTTTGAACACCAAATTCACCAAGGCAGCACTTGACCGTGTCCCACAGCATCTGTAGACGCAGCGTTGTGCTTGCTTCAGAGTTGCTAAATTGTGTGTCTTGGTTGAAGGAGCAAATGTTGTAACATTCACTCAGTTATGTGCCATGTCTGTTTTTTTTTTAATGTGCTGGTAACATGTCCCTAATTAAACACCTCAGATTTTGCTTTGTCATACGTACTTAAGAGTACATTATACTATGGTAAGATTTCTTTTGCTTGAATCTGTGAACATTTGAAATTGCAAGTGTGTATATTTTGAATAAATAAATCCTATGAAAATATGCGGGATGTGTACTGGATATAGAAATATATTCACAATCTTCCTTAGATACTTTCAAAAGATCCTTCACAAGTGATGCAGAAAATTCTTTAAGAGTCTCCTAGACTTGAGTGGGAGAGGGCTCATGGGAGGAGTGCTCCTTTCTTATGCAGAGTTTTAGTTTTGTCCCAAGTACAATGCTCACCCAGAAAGGTCTTCCAAGGTTTTGTGGGTGTGACTGAATATTTATTAAAACTTTTCCAGCAATTACCCCAGTAAATTTTTTATAACTTTAGGATAATATGAATCTTACAGAATCTGTACTATATAAGTATGGTTGATAGATTGAATCTTCTCCAGGAAGAAGTAAAGGGTTCTAAAACTTTGAAACTGTATTGCAACACAGCCCCAAATCAACAACTTCTTTTACAGCATAAGCGTTGTCTGAAATTCAGACTAGAATGTGCACAGTAAGGGAGCTTGGGTGGAGAGGAGAGAGTGGCCGGGAGAGAACAGAGGTTGCATACTCCTGTATGATAGTGCAGTTCTAATGGATGGGATCTGCCCTCCAAAGAGCAAGAAGCTTGGGAGGGTGGGTAGCTGGGTCCAGCGGGGAGGTGATGTTTTAGCATGTAGGCTGGAAGGGCAAGGCTGTCAGTGTCTAGACCCCAGTTGGCCTTTTGGCTGCTGTGTACCCACACAGCTAAAGGACCTTATGCCACTCTTCTGTAAAATGAAGACAAGAATGCTTTAAGTCAGCCCTGGAGTGACAACCACCTGAGTTAACATCTAAGGCTGTCTGGCACTCCCTGAGTGCTGTGCATGTATTTGCTCTTACAGTCATTTACGGAAACATTTCATAGTGTGCCTCTTATAATTTAAAGAGTTGAAAGATTTCTGGAAGGCAAGAAATGGGATTTCATCATCTCTTCTAATCATTTTGGGCAAATCATATTATTTCTTTGTAACTTGATTTCCTCATGTATAACTTGGTTAGGATTTGATTTAATTATTGAAAATAGAGAATTTATAATAAAACCATTTCCCACTATCATTTAGCTGTGACAGACAGTTTGTATGGCAAAATGTCTTCATTTTCTGTAATGAATTTTTACTCAGAACACATGAACCTCATATTTAAGAGAATCCAAAAGTGTTTGAATTGGTATGAGCATTTATTATGCTGAACTTGGCAGGAAGCTCTCCATCTGTTATACAGATCCATGGATTATTTGGGAATTTCATTCATCCCTACTACCCCAGCCAATACCAACACTTACAAACCCAATCAATGAAACCTCCTTCTGTGTGGGGTAAAGAGGGCCTTAGATTAGTTGGGACTTGAACTTTCCATCAGCTTTTAGTGTCCTTCTATTCATAGAGAACACTGAAGTCAGAGCAGACCCATTCAAAGTTTTAGAACACAGGCTTAATCCAAGCACAAAATTTTGCCTTTTTGATTATAAATCTTGCCAGGTAGCATGGTGTAAGCTACACTATTTATAAAAAATATAATAAATGGACACTAGCTCAATTACCCTGAAAAGATATAGAACTAAAGATACTGGCTAGCAACTACTTTTTTGTTATAGTAAGAATTTTTTGGGTTCATTGAGACAACTCAGTGGGTAAAGGTGCTTTCTGTACAAGATTGACAAATTGAGTTCAATTCCTAGAAGCCATTTAAGGTGGAAGGAAAGAAACAATGAGAAAAGTGTGCTTTTTAACTCTACATTTGTGTCATGACTTGAGTGTGCCATTACACACACACACACACACACACTCATAATCATCATCATCATCATTTCATAAAAGGTATTTCAGGTTTAAGTCTTCAAGGGTCTCTGTGACCGTCACAACCAGCAAAGTGGCGAGCCACAGGCAGCAAGAAGGCAGTTCAGCTCAACACGACTCAGTAATTGATGTTTCTTCAAACTTTGAGAGTTTGACCTCAGATGGTTTATTTTAGGCGTATTTAAGCATAGCACAACTGGGTGAAAACTATTCTGGTGATAATTATCTCACTCCTGCTTGCACAACAAAGCATACATAAATCTCCTCAACATGAAAGTAAGCTAAAAGCAGATCAGATGTGACTATATCAAAACTCTTTGTAAAGTCCAAAAGGTAGGTTCTATAGCTTTACTGAGAAAAATGAGTCTAAGGCCCAAGTCTGGGGGAGGTTCCAGTACCAGAATATCTCTCCAGCCACACAGTTAGCACACAATGTCACCAGGCTAGAAAGCATGTCTGCTGCCTCCTTGGGGGAGGAGCACAGGTTTTGGGTTCCTTCTCTTGAGGGAACAACCCTGGCTGCTTAACCTTTCAGACTCTCCTGGTGCTTGCCTGTGAGCCAAAGGCCTCCATGCCCCTAAGATGTCTTACAGACATTTGTGTTAGAGTACATTCAGAAAATTTACTTTTTGCTTGATTTTTGAAGAAAATCTAAAAATAAAATTATTCACATGTAAAATCTAAGTGTAATAGTAGCGAACTCGTCAGATTCTAATTATGTGGATAATCTCACTTTTAAAATGTGACAAGAATTCATTATTATAGTTGTTTATGTCTTTTTATTTTTAAAATATAATACAAAATGTTTGTACGAATTGACTTTGTAAAGTCTGGAGGAGTCTTGACATAACTGACATTGTACATGTAATGATGCCATCAGATGTTAATAACTGTCCAGATGAAAAAATCACAGTTCTTTTACCTTCAATACTATTATCATTTTACAGTGCTGCTAATAAATTTTCACACTCAACTTTTAATTTTTTTTAATTTCAGTTTTTAAATTTAAATTTTAATAAATTAATTTTTTGAGACAGTGTCTGATATAGCCTGGGCTGTTCTCAAACTTACTATGTACCCAAATAACCAAAGATGACATTTGAACTACTGGTCTTCCTGTCTCCTCTTTCTGAGTGCTAGGATTATAGACATGTACCACCATGCTCAATTCTATGTGGTACTGGGGATCAAACCTAGGGCTTTGTGTATGCTAGGAAAGCACTCAACCACTTGAGCTATATCCACAGCCCCTCACAATCCTTTGATAATTGTGAAAATTAGTTAAGAAAGTACAGTGGTATTATAGGTTGCAATCCAGAGTGTTATCACAGGGCTACTTTGGTCTTGGAGTTTGAACCACCTTCTGTGTGTCACCTGCCTCCTCTACGTAAAGAAATGGGAGTTTCCTTGCTCTTGCATTTACAGAACATATTTTCCATAGAAATAAATGTCACCAATCCTTTGGAGAGCCCCAGGTGGGACCTTGAGAGGTTAGTACAAGGGAGATAGAAAGACTGGAGACATTGTTTCTTATTGCATAATCATGTCTGTGCTGATCCTATGAGCAGCCCCTTCCATGCTTATTTTCAATCTCTGGACTGGCCTATTAGTTTCTTTATTATATTCCTGAATACCTTTTGCATAGGTCTTGTGACGCACTCTCCACCTATATAAGAGGTTATTATTTAAGTGTATCCTCTTGGGGCTGTAACCCCAAAAACAACAAAATCCATGTCTTTTGCACTTCCTCTTTTCTAAGATTATGACAGTAACTGGAAGACTCGTCCTTAGTCCATCATAATTCCAGATATTTATTATGTACATAGGCAAATGGACCCTAAGTTATGCTTAGCATCTTTTCCCTTTAAGTTCTTATTTCATCCTAGTGAACACATAGACGTCTAGTCAATAAAAATACACATAAAATAATAAAATGATAATTAAGAGCTAAATATTATTTGTAATCTTTAAAAGAAACATAATTTAACGTTTTTGTTTTGGGGGGAACAGTGTTGCACTCATAGCTTACATTGGTTTGGAACTCATTATGTATACCAGGCTGGCCTTGAAAATAAAAAGAAATCTAGTCAACTTTCCTTTTTATTTTGAATTCATTTATTATAATCTATCTCCAGTACTTAAACATTATTCTATAAATAGTCTTAATAGGAAAACCAATGTTTCATGGGCTTGGTGTTGAAAAGCTCATTATTTTGAAATTATACATTATAGTCTTTGCAGGACATAAATAAGGCACAATGTCTCAGGAAAATTTTCAGACACCAGTATACTGTTGTCTGTGTACCATTCATGTCAAAGTGTCTGTCCTGTCACTCCACACCTCGGAGGTTTGTATGTCCTCTAATTCTATGCCTCATCTGAGTTTTTGAGTGAAGTTGTGGTGTTACTGTTTATAACCTTACACAGTCAGGCTTCTATATAAATGTTGTGGTACACTCTCTGAAACCTGACATCCATAGTCTAAGTGACTGTCACCTAGGAGTCATCATCCATCCTATGCTTGATTCTAAAGAAAAAACACAACTTAACTTTGGAATTCTAAATATAAATAGTACTTTGAAATATACAGCTTTAATACAGATTTTTTTCAATGAAGAAGGAGATACCTATTTTTGCTCCAGCCTCCCAAATTGCTTGCTTTTTTACAGATGACAGAAAAGTAACTAGTGCTTTTCTTTACTTGTAGATAAGTATATATCTTTGGTTAGCTATTCTAGTAAGATTGCATGAAGTTCTGTTTGAATGCTGCTTTAGTCAGCTCTTTCTTTTGAAGGAGTCAAACCAGCAGATTACTCAAGTAGCTCCCATTTAGATCTGTATGGGAAACATCTTGAATACATCATTTGATTCATATTGTGATGTTAGTTAGGCTGCTGCTTGGAATACAGAACAGTGAACAGGCTTTACAGGAATGCCATTTATGTACAGCCTGCTGGTAAGAACGAACAGTCATTTTCTGCAAATGGGGTAAAAAGAGTGAAGTGAGCTGAGTGGAAAAATGCAAACAATGGGAAACTTAGACTTGGTGCTGAGCATATGATAAACATTCTGAGAAGAAGCAGGGACTTTGAAAGTGTAGTGCCTTTCAGTTTTTAAAAATATGAATGTCAGTTGGCAGAGAAAACCCAATGGGAATGTCTGCAACACCCAGCCAAGGGGAAGATGAGATCCATACGTCAAAATACCAGAAAGAAGCGCCACCAGAACCCAAGGCCAGACATCCCTCACTGTTGTCATCAGAAGGTAGGCAGCAGCCTTTTCCCTCTTCTTTCAGTTGGTTTTTCTACTTTGCTTCCTCCTTGTAGTTGCTTTAGGAAGAATATTATATCACTTAACGCAATGAAAATAGTTTCCATTTCTAAGATTGCAAAATTGGATGGGCCATGAACAAAGTACTCCAAATTCTAAAGTTTTGGATTTTTAGTTTCTATATTTGTTTGATGATCTTTTTTCCCAAATATATCCTTACTGGTAGTTATAATATACACATTCATCAAGTTCTGTGCTTTGTGATGTAGCCATCAATGGACAGAAGGAAATAGAGTACTCTTGCAGTTTTCTCCGGAACTTGTGATTGCCCATTCAGAAGACTGTAAGTGAAGTTATGTGCCACCACACTAGACTTTGAGTCATTTTTGTTCTTTCTTTTTTCAATAAACCTATTTTTATATATGACTTGGATGTTACAAAATGGCTTTAAAAATTAAATATTGGCTATACTATTATTTCTTTCAAATACAAATTGACAAAAATGACCTGCTTGGCAAGATATGCCTACTGGTGCATGATGCTATGGGACCAGCCAAACTCTTTCTAATTGGGTTTGATGCCTTTTCTACAAGAGAAAACTGATGCCTAACTGATGCCTGCACTGTAAATCTTCCCAGGAACCTGTAACTGAAGAGGTCATAGGCTCTAAGAGAGAACTCACTGCTGTTGTTCTGCTAAATGGAAATGATGTCAAACTGGTGTCTCTCAAACATCATCGAGAAACTTATTTTTTCAGTAGGTGGCAGTCAATATGGAGATCATGGTTAGTCAAATTGTGGAGACTAAGTGACTACAGAGGGTTCGACTTGAAACAGGTCATATATATCACCCCCACCAAGGCTCGGAATATTGTGAATATGGGATGGAAAGTACTTAAGAGCTAGTGGTTGGGGAACAGTACCACAAAGTGTTTTCTGGGCATGACATGCTCATTGTATCTGTGAACTCACTGAAGCTGTAGTTATCTGTGTGAGATCCACAGAAGACCAGACTTGTAACTATTTTGTGATGCATGAAGGTGGGACTGTTAAGGTCTCTCTATTCACTGTGGGACTATGTGCAGGCAGTGGGTTCTGAGGTAATATTTTTCTTCAGTGGCATAACCACTGATAAGTTGCCTACATTTCATTAACCCAACCCCATCCCCACTATGCTCATTCCGGCAACCTCAAACTTAATGACTAAGAAAGAAAAGAGGGAAAGAGGGAGGGAAGAGAGAAGCAAGGAAAAATAGAAAGGAAAGAAAGAAGGAAGGAAGGAAAGAAAGAAGGAAGGAAGAAAGGTAGGGACAGGCATCAAAGTAGGAGGAGGCTTGTTGGAAAGAAGGTTTTCAGAGGAATACGTGGAGGGCAGGGGAGAGAATTCCATGGGTGTTAAATGCCTCAAAACCAACAAGTACAGGTATGGAATTGTCAAATAATAAGTAGTCTCACTGATATGCCTACATTGTTATGATACTAGCTATAGGTAAGTCACCACTCTAAACATGAGTTTTCTGGTCCGGCAGGTTCTGCAGCCATCTTGCCCCAAATGAACACACAGATACTATATTAATTATGAAACTATTGGCTGATGACTAGGGAGTCTATTGGCTATATCTGTATTAATTACTAATGTAAAAATCTATGTATTTCCACATGGTCTTGGCTTACCAGAGAATGCCAGACCTGCAACTCCTTTGCCTGCTGCATCATGACTGTACTGGTGGCCTCTCTTGCCTACCTTTCCCAGACTTCTCCTCCTCTCCTAGTTCTGCCTATCTTATTGCCTCATTGGTCATTGGCCCAACAGTTCTCTTACTCATCAACCAATAAGAGAACATCCCCTATCACACCACTGTGATTTTTTTTTTTTACTGTAGTGGACTAGTCATGGACTGTATATACCCACAAAATAGATTCATGGAACAATGTAAAGAATTAATCTCATAAGAAACTTCTCATAGAAGAATTAAATTTGTGTCAGGAAATAAAGGCTTTTAAATTAGAGTTGGCTATCTCAAGCAAAATTTGACATGGTTTAAAATAGTGTGCTAGCTGAAGTCTTCAGAAATAGACTTTTTTATGAGTGAAGAAAAAGCTTAGGGAAACATTCATATTTCCTATAAAATTGGTCTTGTAAAACATTTTTTTCTCAATATATGTCTTTATTCAAATTAGAAATATGAATGCTTCACATGTCAATCCCAGCTCCCTCTCCCACCCCTCCTCCCTTGTCCCTCCACCAGCACCCCTCGAACTCCCCACCCAATCCCCATATCCTTCCCCAGGGAGGGTCAGGCCCTCCTTGGGGGGATTTCCAGAGTCTGTCATTTCATCCAGGGCAGGACCTAGACCCTTCCCCATGTGTCCAGGCTCTGAGAGAGCATCCCTCTATTTGGAATGGGCTCCCAAAGTTCATTAATGTGTCATGGTAAACACTGATCTACTACCCAAGGCCCCAGAGATTTCTTGTAAAACATTTTGAATGTTGCCATTGTTAAAATCTCGAGTGTAGGAACTATAGAATTTTTGAATAAAGCAAATGAAATGTATTAGTTGTCTTTGCATTACTATGACTACGTGCCACAGACAATTGTCTTATAAAGAGAAAAGGTTTTTTTTTAGTTCTAAGTTTTGAACTACAAAGTCCATATAGTAGTATAAAACAGGAATGTCCTTTTACAGTATTGCCTCATAGGCCAAAGATGGAAATGAATTTTGAAAGCAGTCAAGTGATTACATTCCAAATTGAAATAGAGATTGAAGAGAAAGGGAGAGAGGGAGATGGGAGCAAAGGATAGTGAGCGGGGAAGAGGGGGAGGGAGGTGGAAAGGGAGATTCTAGAATCTCCTTTAAGGGTATGTCCTATAAGACATAAGAAGCTCCTATAAGACCCACCCCAAAGGTCCATCACCTAGCAATAGCATCACCGAGGTCAGTCTGTGAACCTTTAACAGACACCTGTCTTCATTCACCCATAACACTAAATGACTTGAGCAAGTTGAAAAAACTAATACTTACAATAAACACAGATGTTTGGCACTATTCTTTTGCTTAGTAACCACACACACACACACACACACACACACACACACACACACACACACACCTGTACTTAACTGATTGGCAATGTAAGGTGTCTTAGGGTTGGATGGAATATAATGACCAAATCAACTTGGGGAGGAAAGGATTTATTTCACTCAGTGTAACAGTTCATCATCAAAATCAGTGAGGGCAGGAACTCAAGCAGGAGAGTAACCTGGAGGCAGGAGTTCATGCAGAGACGATGGAGGGGCACTGCTTATTGGCTTGTTCCCCATGTCTTTTTCACTGTGCTTTCTTATAGAACCCAGGACCATCAGCCCAGGGATGGGCTCTCCCACATTAATCACTAATTAAGAAACTGCCCTGCAGGTTTGCCTACAGTCCTATCTTGTGGAGGCATTTTCTCTATTGAGGCTTCCTTCTTTCTGATGACTCTAGCTTGTGTCAAGTTGGCATGAGACTAGCCAGTGCATAAGAGCAACGTAGTGAGGAAGAAAACAATCTCAGCCTCAGCAGTCTAAGTGGTTTGGTTAAAACATTAAAGCACACAAAAATGAAAGCTACAGACTGATAGTGGATATCCTAGGTACAAAATAAACATTTAGTCCCGAATTTAGTGTAAAGTCTTGCAAGTTCTTTGTTAGTAATTAATGACAGCGTCAGAGTGGAGGCTAAAGACAAAAGGGAGGAGTCTGAGCTCAAACTATTTACAGCCTACTGAAACTGCAGACACAGCACAGATAGCAGACATGGATGCATCCCCTTAGACAGGCTGCAAGGCATGTATGCATGGTGTGCTTCAACCTGGCTTTCTGAGGTTGAGGCAGGAATGGATTTAAAAGCATATATGATCTCAGGTGGAGAAATGCGTTGAGAGTTCCTATGTCTTCATCACCCAATCCTCACCACACAGTTGCACTATCTGTGCACTGCTTCTTGCGGGAAATATTTTTCTTCGGTTTGAAAATTTAGAAGTCACACTACATACATTTTGATTGAAATCATATGAAAACATAAAAATTTAGTCAAATTTATATGGAAATGTATGTTAGAATATTTTTGGAAAACCTTTTGTGGTGTTTTACAGACACTTAGTAGCAAATATAACTTATTGAAGATTATGCTTATCAATCCAGTCCTTCAGGAATTATAGACAAAAAAACACTTGTGTTTTTTTCAAATTGCTTAATTATCAAGAAGGGTAAAACTTTTCTCACCTATACCAGGGGGCAAGGGTATTAGAAGGCACCAAGAGCATGGTGTAATAAACACTGCACTGCCAACAGCATGATGTAATAAACACTGCACTGCTAACAGTGTGGTGTAATAAACACTGCACTGCCAACAGCATGGTGTAATAAACACGACGCTGCCAACAGCAGGGTGTAATAAGCACTGCACTGCCAACAGCATGGTGTAATAAACACTATGCTGCCAACAGCAGGGTGTAATAAACACTGCACTGTCAACAGCATGGTGTAATAACCACTGCACTGCTAACAGCATTATGTAATAAACACTGCACTGCTAACAGCATGGCGTAATAAGTACTGCACTGTCAACAGTGTGGTGTAATAAACACTGCACTGCTAACAGAATGGTGTAATAAACACTGCACTGCTAACAGCATGATGTAATAAACACTGCACTGTCAACAGCATGGCATAATAAACACTACACTGCTAACAGCATGATGTAATAAACACTGCACTGTCAACAGCATGGCGTAATAAACACTGCACTGTCAACAGCATGGCGTAATAAACACTGCACTGTCAACAGCATGATGTAATAAACACTGCACTGCCAACAGCAGGGTGTAATAAGCACTGCACTGCTAACAGCATGGTGTAATAAACACTGCACTGTCAACAGCATGGCATAATAAACACTGCACTGTCAACAGCATGGCGTAATAAACACTGCACTGTCAACAGCATGATGTAA